TTGAAAATTTTAAACTCAACACGATGATATGACTCGAACTCGATACGAAAATAAACAGTTCAACTTGCAACTCGACACGACACAATTAGTTAAATTAGTTAAGTTAGATTTGACTAATATTCAACACAAACTCGTAATGACTTAACACGAATCTAACATGACACAACTCGACTCGATTGTCACCTCTAATCTTAGCCAGCATAAAAAAAAATTAAAAAAAAAATAGTTATTTTTATTTTCCATTCAACTAAACACAAAGGAAGAAAAATGTATCCTTCCCACTTTCTATCCTTGAAGGATAGAAAGTGTATCCCTCCTACTTTCCATCCTCCCTACCAAACGGAGCATAAAACAAATAAATAATGACAAATAAACCCTCATAAGTTAAAAGAAATTACTTAAAAGATAAATATTAAAAGTATCTAAATAACTATCATAATTAATCTATAATATCTATCCAATTCCTACACGATTTCCATCACTAAGCTTACTTTGGAATTTTTGTTTAATAACTTCGCTATTTATGCCTAAATGATGGTGACAAGTCGTTGCATTATTGATTGAGTGATCAATGAATAGTTGATAGATTGATCGTATACATATAGAAAGACATATTCAAGGGCATTAATAATGCTGACAACATGCAATTCTTTTAAAACATGAAAACTATCAGTGTTCATTTTTGTGAAGTGTCTTAATCAGTCCCCATTTTTTTTAGTTTCTATACACCATGTTAATCAGCTTTTGGCCTTTTTCTTTTTAGTGAATCTTTTATGTATCCAATATGATGTAACATTGTAACAATATAAATTGACTATCTTACTTTTATTAAGTAGAAGAAAATAAATTAAAGCTTGTACTTAAAGTACACACCTTTAATATATTCCTGCCCCCTCCTTTGACTGGAGAGCTAAATGGTATTGGAAGGGAAGTGTTCTTTTCTGGGAGGGAAACAAATTTTATGTGCAGCTCAAGCTACTAATGAGGGCACAGGTTGAGCTGTATTGTATTGCACAAGTTGGATATTGGAAATGCATGTAATCATATGCTATGTTATGAACAAAAGTCACAAACAAATAAATTGAACAAAATAGAAAAATATAGAACACAAATTTATGTGTATCGGCTTGAAAATCTACATTCACGGGGCAAAGCGCAACAACAAAGTTTTTCTATCAACATAGGAAGATTACACAAAATTTTCTAACCCAGAGAAAAGAACCAAACATGGCTGCCCAAAACTGGGGGCCAAAATCCTCAAAAGAAACTGAGTGGTCTATAATCTATTTATAGACCCAAACTACTTTGTCTCCTAATACAATAGGGTTTCTAATAGGTTAAGAAACTGAATAGGTTAAGCTTCTAGGTTGATATAGTGGACTAATATGTGCACTCTACCATTCACTTTTCAGTTTCAACCAATTGAACTCCACAGAGTTCTTTAAGGAGGTTAGCCAAAGGTTGAACTAAATGCTTGTTGGGCTATTGTCCAAGTTATGTGGGAAATTAGAGCTATTCAGCTCGTCTCTGTATAACTAAGCCTAAGCTCCAGAGATTTGAGGCCTGAGATGAAAAATCTTGGCTGAGACTTTAGGCAGAGACTTATCATTTGCTACCCTAAGTTGGGAGATTCTAAAGGGAATCCAAATCTGTTATGATACTAGCTACAATTAAGGAACCAACGAGGAAGGTTTCCTTAGTCAATAGAGGTTCGACAAATAGAATGATAAGGGTTCTAACAAGTTGTGGTAGTTTTTATTTTTTATGTGTGATGGTACTTATGTAATTTAGTACTCTTAAGCTAGTATCGATAGTAGTGAAAATTGTCCAAAAGTATAGTTGGAGATTCTTTTAAGTCAATAGGTCCATGTATAATTGTTTTGAGGCCTAAAGGACACGATACTGTAAAATATTGGTTGTTTGGTCCAAACTTGCAATAGTTAGTACCAAAGTATATTCACAACTAAATCATTGCTTGGAGATAGATGTCATCTTCTTGGTACTGAGGCAATGTTCATGACTATATATCGATAGTATAATTCTAGTAGGGAAAGATTTAGAACAAGTGTGGTTGCCTGGATTGTCCATGGGATGTGAATACTATGGGCTAGAGAGTTAAAGACCGTGGCATGTAAGACGACTCTGAATTCGCTTTGTCTACTAAAAGGGAAACTATGAGAAATGCAACTATGAATCACACGCAGATTTCATTCCTGACTCAGGATGAATGCCCGTTGCATGCTTAACACATGCAAGTTGGCCACGAAGTGGTGTTTTCAGTGGCGAACAGGGATGTAAATAGTAAGAGCCTCCCTTGGGAACCTGTGATTGCTTTTTCTTAGTCCTAAAATTTGGGTTACTGTTATTTGGAGCTACACTGTGATTCTACGTTTAACTTGTCGCAATCGCGGAAAGCCAGAGACAAAGACATGGGATGGTGACCTGAAAAATGGAGGGGCTGCAGAAACCAGAGATTATTCTTATCTAGCTGGTGGAAGCAAATTCTAAGAAAGGTCTGAACAATGAATCCGAGACCCTGAAAAAACCGGAGGAATTGGTTTACCTTTCATTATAGAGAAGAAATTAGAAGTATTTAAAAAAAAAAATCCAAAGATTTTGGGGATTTCACTGCTAACTAATACACCACAAGACTCGATGTAAAGTATCCTAACTGATCTGATTGTAGAGCGGCTAATTCATTTAATCCCTTAAATATCAGAGAATTAAAGCTCTGTTGGGTCTGCCAGTCTAGAAGCAGCTATCCATCTCCCTTACCTTAAGACAGACACAATTGCCAAATGAACTGCTAGTAGCACCATCCTGGTCTCATGACACGGACAAAGATGAGAAGTTACACTGGCTAGCACATCCTAGCCGCGAGAGTATTCAGAATAACATGAACCAGTGTCTCTTTAGAAGTTATTCGTTGAAATTCCTGACACTCTGCTTTTTGTTTGCTTAGGCAACACCTATTTCGCTAACATTGTTCATCTTTGGGATAAATCTTCCAGAAATTATAACCTGATTTTATCTCTAGTGGAAGGTGGAATTCTTCTTTCTTCATGCAGCTGTCCTCTGCTGAGAAATGGGATGTCAGTACTCTTGCCTATCCAGGACTGGATATTTGGTAAGAAGACTTTAGGCTGGTTAGAGTAAGCTATGACCATATATTACTTTTTGTTGGAATATATGAGGTACTTTTCTTCTCATAGAGTTTTGATGCTTTTGAACGTGCTATTCAGTTGTGTTTGTTTCANAAACTGAATAGGTTAAGCTTCTAGGTTGATATAGTGGACTAATATGTGCACTCTACCATTCACTTTTCAGTTTCAACCAATTGAACTCCACAGAGTTCTTTAAGGAGGTTAGCCAAAGGTTGAACTAAATGCTTGTTGGGCTATTGTCCAAGTTATGTGGGAAATTAGAGCTATTCAGCTCGTCTCTGTATAACTAAGCCTAAGCTCCAGAGATTTGAGGCCTGAGATGAAAAATCTTGGCTGAGACTTTAGGCAGAGACTTATCATTTGCTACCCTAAGTTGGGAGATTCTAAAGGGAATCCAAATCTGTTATGATACTAGCTACAATTAAGGAACCAACGAGGAAGGTTTCCTTAGTCAATAGAGGTTCGACAAATAGAATGATAAGGGTTCTAACAAGTTGTGGTAGTTTTTATTTTTTATGTGTGATGGTACTTATGTAATTTAGTACTCTTAAGCTAGTATCGATAGTAGTGAAAATTGTCCAAAAGTATAGTTGGAGATTCTTTTAAGTCAATAGGTCCATGTATAATTGTTTTGAGGCCTAAAGGACACGATACTGTAAAATATTGGTTGTTTGGTCCAAACTTGCAATAGTTAGTACCAAAGTATATTCACAACTAAATCATTGCTTGGAGATAGATGTCATCTTCTTGGTACTGAGGCAATGTTCATGACTATATATCGATAGTATAATTCTAGTAGGGAAAGATTTAGAACAAGTGTGGTTGCCTGGATTGTCCATGGGATGTGAATACTATGGGCTAGAGAGTTAAAGACCGTGGCATGTAAGACGACTCTGAATTCGCTTTGTCTACTAAAAGGGAAACTATGAGAAATGCAACTATGAATCACACGCAGATTTCATTCCTGACTCAGGATGAATGCCCGTTGCATGCTTAACACATGCAAGTTGGCCACGAAGTGGTGTTTTCAGTGGCGAACAGGGATGTAAATAGTAAGAGCCTCCCTTGGGAACCTGTGATTGCTTTTTCTTAGTCCTAAAATTTGGGTTACTGTTATTTGGAGCTACACTGTGATTCTACGTTTAACTTGTCGCAATCGCGGAAAGCCAGAGACAAAGACATGGGATGGTGACCTGAAAAATGGAGGGGCTGCAGAAACCAGAGATTATTCTTATCTAGCTGGTGGAAGCAAATTCTAAGAAAGGTCTGAACAATGAATCCGAGACCCTGAAAAAACCGGAGGAATTGGTTTACCTTTCATTATAGAGAAGAAATTAGAAGTATTTAAAAAAAAAAATCCAAAGATTTTGGGGATTTCACTGCTAACTAATACACCACAAGACTCGATGTAAAGTATCCTAACTGATCTGATTGTAGAGCGGCTAATTCATTTAATCCCTTAAATATCAGAGAATTAAAGCTCTGTTGGGTCTGCCAGTCTAGAAGCAGCTATCCATCTCCCTTACCTTAAGACAGACACAATTGCCAAATGAACTGCTAGTAGCACCATCCTGGTCTCATGACACGGACAAAGATGAGAAGTTACACTGGCTAGCACATCCTAGCCGCGAGAGTATTCAGAATAACATGAACCAGTGTCTCTTTAGAAGTTATTCGTTGAAATTCCTGACACTCTGCTTTTTGTTTGCTTAGGCAACACCTATTTCGCTAACATTGTTCATCTTTGGGATAAATCTTCCAGAAATTATAACCTGATTTTATCTCTAGTGGAAGGTGGAATTCTTCTTTCTTCATGCAGCTGTCCTCTGCTGAGAAATGGGATGTCAGTACTCTTGCCTATCCAGGACTGGATATTTGGTAAGAAGACTTTAGGCTGGTTAGAGTAAGCTATGACCATATATTACTTTTTGTTGGAATATATGAGGTACTTTTCTTCTCATAGAGTTTTGATGCTTTTGAACGTGCTATTCAGTTGTGTTTGTTTCATTTGCACATGGAAAACTATACCTATTGCTGCAAAACTTTTAATTTGGTCAACTTTCTTTTGTAACAGTTGAGCGTAACACCTGGCAATTCTATTATTGGAATGATTCTACATTATGTTGAGCTCAAGTGACATAATGATATGTGTTGTTTTTATCTCAGGACAAATCTCGTAAGCGCAAACTGCAATCGCTATCCTATATCACTAGAATTTCAAATAAGGGGTCGCGAAAGGATATCTTGGATGCTGTTTCCCCCAGCAAGAAGAAACGACGACTGAAACATTTAGCTACAGAAAGGAAGACCAAAACGTGCACAGCTTCCAAGTTCATTGCAAAACACCAAAAACCAGAGATGCCTGTTCGTGGCATTCTCAAGAATCATTCAAAATTGGTCTGGGATCAGAACTCAACAATTTGCAATTTGCAAGAAGTTACTCAATTGAATCATTGTTCTCCTCAGCAGTCCAACAGGCATGTCCAGTTCACGGGTAAAGATGATATACTTGAACAGAGGAGGAAAGCTTTTACTTATGAAGAATGTCCTGAGTTGCAACCCATATGCAGTTTCAATTTTGATGCCATTGCTGCTTCTTCAGTAAAGGAAGGTCAAACAGAGAGGGGAAAGAATTTAGGCATTGTGATGATGAATGGAAGCAAGAAAGATGCTTCCATTAGCACAGAAAACGAGACTGACTTTTTATGTCTAACTGAAAAACAGTTGCCTGTCATAGGTCATGTAATTGATTCGCCAAACTATCCTCATGTTAGGTGTGAAGAGCATTTGCTTGATAGAACTGTAAATGGAAATTTGCATTTGCTTGAACAACGCTACAAAACTGCTTCTCATGACCCCTTATATGCTTCCACTCCTAGGTTTCTTTCTCTGGCAAACGACGGGTATACTCCCAATGTAGTTACTCATGTAGGCAGAGATATATCAAGAGCTTCTAGTAACAGTGGGATGTTGATTGATCAGTCTGGGGATCCCAGGCCTAGACCTGCTGCAATGTGTTCCACGGATCACATGAAAGCATTTCCTCAGCCCTCGTCAACTTATTTCACTAGTTGTTATGGAAATGCAAGTGGGTGGCCTCCATTTCCCTCACAAACCACTGCAGATAATAACAATGGTCATGCTTTGCCCTACCAACCATTCCATCATATGTCTCCCAAGGAATTGATGAGTAGTATTTGTTCACTTCCAGAATGGAAGCAAAAAATGGCTGCGTGTAGAGAAAAGTGTATGGGTGAAGATTTCGTCGGCTTGCCTCTTAATTCTCAAGGGGAACTAATACAGTCGAATTCAAGTGGTAATGGCAGGTACCAGCTGATGAGGTCAAGTACAAGTGGTTCTGCCATGAGCTTCACTGTGAACAATAATGCACAATCAAAAAGCCCTGGTGATGATTGGAACTTCAGGAATTGTGGCAGTAGAGCACCACCAAAGGACGCATTGAAACTGTTTCCTGTCCAGGACTGTGTGAAAGGTAATCCTGATTTAGCTGTGGCATGTAGACTAGGTTTTCCTGAATTACAAGGTGTTGGAAGAACAAAGGATGACTTCTTGGACTGTGTGAGGAGAAATGATCACCCTGTTTATCCGCTGGAGTCAGAACTGGACTGGATGAACATCTCTCACCATGGACACAAACAATATGACCAGGTTCAGAAGGGCAATGGAAATGGGAAAGTTCAGGCTCTGAGAGACCGGATGTCACTGAATGTCACACAACCAACAATGCGGCTGATGGGGAAAGAGTTTACAGTTGCTAGAGGTAACACAGACTTGCAGGGTCTCGAAGATGGAAATGTTTGGACTGATAAGCAGATCATTGCTGAGTATCGTCCTCCCAAAACTTCCATTGTCAACTGCCCAGTAAATAAACAGAATCAGCAGGACTCGATTGTGCATCCAGCATCAGAAAAACTGCAAGATACCATGGCGGCTTCATCGGAATTTAAAGCCAATCAGGTATCACCGAGTGTTTTACCAGTGAAACCTACAGAGTCTAGGTCATCTCTCCCTTACCTTGACTGTCAGACTGATGTAGTGTACAACAATAGGTGTGACACCATCAATTTAAACCCTATTCCTGAATTGGCTTCTTATTCTCCTCCAGCTGCTTCGTTTGGGTTATATAACCGGGCACCCATTTTCCAGGTTCCCTTCACATGTGGATATGAGTCTCTAAATGCAAACTCCCCGATCCCCATAGTGGCATCTTCTCCTCACAAAACAAGTCAGAATACAAATTCATATTCCGCTTCACCCAAAAACAGGCTGAATTTACCTCATGCTACAAAGTCATCCTTCAAGTTTCCTTTCTTGCGTCCAGATTGTGGAGATCACTTCCAGCCATCTTGGTATCCAAATAGCATGCCCCAGAGGTTTCCAGATACACCACAACAGAAGGGAATATTGATTGGGTCTTTCAAATCAAATTCTGATGCAACTAGTAGTCATCACCCTTGCAACATATCTGAAAATAATTTTTATGCTGGCACTACAGTATATCGGTCGCCAGAGATTTCCTATGCGTACAATCCTGTGCTTTTTCACTCTCCCTTGCCAACTCCACTTGCTTCAGCATCGTTTTCTCACCCTACAGTCATGCCGGTTTGCCCTGAGTTCCCACCACTTCCTGCTATAAACAACAAACATGGAAACAGGATGAAGTTCAAAGGCCAAATCAAGTCAAGAGTCATTTTAAAAAGCCGTGATCATGGTAAAAAGACCAACAAGAGGCCTGCAGCCTTATCAGATGATTGTACAAAACCCACTAAAAAACCTAACTTGGTAGTCCAACAAGTTTCTAGTTTTGCTACTCAACCACTGAAGGTTACTGGAGGTTTGGATGATGATGTGCAGTGTGGCACATCATTTGAATTGGATGCAGCCAAAGATAAAGCCAGCAGCATGGGATGTGGCCAAAACAGTACTCAAAATAAGGGATCTAGAGTTATTTCTGTGATTGAGTCATCAAAGTTGGAGAATAGTCCAAAATTAGGTCCCATTAAACTAACAGCCGGGGCAAAGCACATCCTTAAGCCCAGTCATCTAGATCAGAACAACTCCAGGCCGTTCCATTCAACCATCCCTTTTGCTGAAGCAACTAGTTCTGGTTGGGTTTCAGAATCTAATGGAAAGTCAGCAAAGATGTACAGCTTTTAGGAGTAAGTTCAATTGTCCTACATTACTTAGATTTTTGGTTTAGTCTACTAATGCTTACTGAAAGTCACATTCTGTACTGTGACAGAAATCTGCCTTCTTCAAAGACAGAAGAGGCTGTCATTATCTTACGCTGGCTATCAAATTGAAAGGGGATCTGAAAGAGGAACTGCCAGATGAAGAAGCAGCGGGCTGATCTGACCTGCATGCCTGCCTTCGTTTCATGACAACTTGTAACTTCTCCTGACGTTTGAACTGCTTAATTCTGTTGTTAATTAATGCTGTCCTTTTATTTATAACAGGCTTGTTCTAAATGAATTCTGTAATATAACACTAGAAGTTCTTTTGGTGCATGTCCTCTAGTTTTTCATTGTCCAGATCATGCTGTTCGGACCTTTATCCTTCCCTTCGTGAAATTGTTGGTAAGAGATTTGCATTTTCTGCAGCTATGGGATTGGATTATTTTTGAGACCATTATCCTTGCGGTTATTTTATTTTCAGTCATTGGATTGGAGTAATTTAGTCAAATAACGTAGGTAAGACAAGTGAAAAATGGTGTGATTCCTATGATATTTGTTTGCTATTCAATTCCTTGTTTAGTGAACTGAGTATAAAATTTGCAGGAACATAACTCTGATTCTACTTGTTACTTTTGCACAGCGGATAATTAATAAAAATAATATTTGTTGGAAGATAGAAAAATAATAAAAATATGACATAAATATTTAACATGGTTTAATACAGCATACCCATGGTAAACTTTACACAGACCAAAAATTTATATTGATGTATTATTCATTAGAAAAAACACACCCTTATTTATAGGGATAAAATATTGTAATTCAAATTTATTTAGATATAACTTAATATTTATGTTTCTTATAACATGTCTAATATACATATTTATGGTATATTAAAACTCTTCTAATTTATTTTCTATTTGATTTGGTCAATAATAAACCTATCTACGGTTTATTAGGACTCTTACATTGATTTCCTAATAAGCTTCTTTCATGACAATTAGAGAGTTTAGATCAAATTTCAACATCTTCTTTTGAACCAAACTCTTCAAATTTGGTTATGCCCAAGATCGGACTTAGCACTCCTGATTCTGATCCACTAATTTTTTTAAACACTACGTATAAACCTACTATTTTGAGTTGTCACAATCTCACTATCTTTAAAGAACCTACATCTTGGCCTGCATCATCATCTCTATCTCTCTATCCATGTCGTACTTGTTCTGGGGAGGTTTCAATGGCTCAGTGACTTGTAACCCATGAGTCACTACATCATCACTATTGGGTTTATGTCAGCCCAATAGCTCCTAAACCATTAGAATACCGCGACTTCAACTCTAAGGGCTTGTTTGGATGAATTTTTTAGGAGGGTTTGGATTAGCTTCCCTAAATCCTTCCAAACCCTAAGAGATTCAACATTGAATTCAATTCATACTCATGTTTGGTATGCAATACATATACATGTAAGATTTGCAAATATATTATAACAATTTAATTTATACCCATGTTAACGGGTACAATTGTCTTTTGCATCCTTAACCCATCTTCTCAAACCCACCCCCTAGACTTGATGAAACCCATGCTCATGGGTTTGATATTTGGGCCAGCTACGGGCTGGGTTTGGGAACCTAGTATTGAATTTTCAATTCAAACATGGGGTTTGGGGGTCCTTTGAACTATTTTTTTCAAACCCATCTTGCTAAGTCCCCCACATACCCCTTTTACCAAACAACCCCTAAAAGTCCAAAAATATGAACAAACATTTTCAACATAGCACGTGTGGTAATTCTTGAAATCTAAACAATCAGGAAACAACGTAGTGTTCCATTTGGTTTCATAACAACTAAAAAATTGTTCTTGTGGATTCAAACAAAAATATGAATCAACTAATTTTTCAAGATTATGTCCTTAATGTACGTAAGACGAAATAATTCTTCACACCACATCGTGCACATGTGGCAAGAGAGTCTTTTTCAACATGAACACAACTTGATCATTGGATTGCCAATAAATTGCTTTGATTGATACACCAAGATTATCAATCTAGCTTTGATTGCTCTACCAAGATCATCAATCTATTAATTTTTTTGTCCTAATCATCAATCTAGATCTGATACCACTTGTTGGAACATAGCTCTGATACCACTAGTTAGTTTTGTGCAATGGATAACTAAAACAAATAATACTTGTTAGAAGATAAGAATTCGAAAATAGGAAAACAATAAAAATATGACAGAAAGATATAACGTGGTTTAATATAGCCTAACCACCTTATTAACACGGACCAAAAATCTACATCGATGTATTATTCACTAGAAAAATTGGTCATCTGATAACTGATTACATAATACACACCCCTATTTATAGGGATAAAATACTGTAATTCAAACTTATTTAGATACAACTTAATCTTTATGTTTCCTATCACATGTCTAATATACTTATTAATGGTATATTAAAACTCTTCCAATTTGTTTACTATTTGATTTGGTCACTAATAAACTTATTTATAGTTTATTAGGACTCTTAAATTGATTATCCAACAAACTTCTTTCATGACAATTAGGGAGTTTTGGTCAAATTTCAACAAAATTATACATAAGTGTGAGCTTCAAGTCTTTATTGTAATTATCTAGTTCAAAATAAACAATATTAGACAATGTATATCGAGAACGTTACACATAGTGTAACGCCCCAAAACCCACCTTGGACTTCATTACAATCTAAAAATCATTCACAACACGAGAGCAACTAATAACATCCATAATTAAGATAATTTCATTCATCATTCATAATATCTACAACGTTATCCCAAAAGAATATGCCGAACTATGACATCTACATCCCAAAATAATATATATAAACTATGATAATTACATCTCAAAAGAATCAAGCTTAATCTTGTAGCGAAATGAACAAAATATATCTATTAGTGTACCAAAATATATCCCCTAATCTAAAACATAGAGAGATCAATTCTAGACATCCCCCACGGGATCCGTGCTTCCATCCAATGGTGCTTCCCAAGCTACTTGTTCATCACCTCCGAGTTCTTCCTCCATACCGAAATCTGAGAATAAATATTGTTTGTAGGGGGTGAGCACTAAGTTCTGTAGCAACATTCTCCAAAACTCGAATAAGGTTTAGAAAATATGTAAAACAAGTTGGTCTCATTTCAAACATATCATATATTAATTTTTGAAAGAAAACATGAACATTTCAATAGATCTCAAGTTTATACAGTAGTAATAAATTAAGTGAAGTAATAACGCCAAATTACAATTAACAAATCATTTACAACCATAAACTATTTTTCACAAGTTCTTGTATAATCCCATACTTCCACAAGCTATTGTAGAAAACCGTTTCTAGTACAATAAACCATAAACCCACAACTTATATTCATATCTCAGGTATGTTGGTTGCTTCCCATGAATCTACACAACAACTTTTACCTCATTCACCCATCACAATCACACAATCTCAAACATTTTAGGAAGGGCGTGTACCGTCTCTCACGGCATTGACGAATCCTTCCCTCAGCCTTGAACTTATGTGAACAATAGTGGTTGCTCTTACAAACAACAAACCACTACAAGTGTTAGGAAACTATCTCACCCCTACTGGGATAGACTAACCTCTAACACTCTATGACAATGCTTGAATGCAGTTCAAGTCCATCACAACAACCATACAAGAGATGCAATAACAAACATTTTCTCAAATCACAAGGAAATCCAAAATCTCCAAATTTCACAATTTGTATTACAAGAGAATAATTTAAGAAAATATGCAAGAGATTATCACAAATACTATTTTGTTGTTCAAAACAAAGCACTAGAGTTTGAAAACCAAGCACAAAGGAACATAAAGAAGAAAAATCCATTTTTCTCAAAAATTAGAGATTTCAAGTCCAGAGGAGAAATTTCATGGCTATATAACCACAACTTTGTTTAAAACATGAAAATAAGTGCAAAAGCGTCAAAAGATAGGGATTTCATAACATATACTTAGGATCGAGAGTAAAAACATACATGCATATACATGCCCTAGCCTCAATGTACAAGAACGGAAGAAAACCCCTACCTTGTTTTGTAATTTGGGTAGAAAGGTAGAAGATTTGATCTTTCCCACTTGAATCAACACTTGGATCTCTTGTGTTTTCCCTTTTTTCTTCCTCTCTAAGGTTTCCTAGGGTTAAAAAGGTTGAAATGGGGTTAATGGAGGCGTCATTATGTATTTATAGGGTGAAAAATGAACCATAGATCGCAACTTAAAATTTCTGAAACTTATAGAGCGTACCGGTACGCAATACCGGTACGGTAAAATCTTTGGACAGTAGCGTACCGGTATGTTGTGTTGGTACGGTAACTTCTAGGCGTACCGGTATGGTCTGTTTAGTTTTGTCTGTTTCCTTTGTTTTTCATTTTCAATTCATTCCAAACCCTTCCAAAATCAACCCAAATTTATATAACATACATTTGGACATCAAACATATTTGGTACAAGTTCTATTACAAACAATTTCATATATTTATCCGGGTTTTACAATATTAGCATTTCACAAAGAAATGATTACTTTTTATATAAAGATAAGAGTATGGGGGTTTACACATAGGGGTGTCCATGGACCGAGTTGGGCCTAGGTAGTATGAGTCCAAACCCTTACCCAAGTGAGTTATCGACGTGGGTCGGATTGGGCTTTGGGTAGGGGTAGGCTACCTGCAGCCAACCTGTGAGCCTATTGCTCGTAGATTTTTTTATATACAACTTCATTTAAAAATAATGAATATTTTTGTAACTTAATATTTGTGTAAATTATATTTTTGAATCAAAAGTAGAGTCAAAATAGATAAAAATAAAATAATGAATAATTTTATTTTTGATTAGGGGATGAACTGCATGCAATAGAATGAATACATCCTGACTAGGTTGACACCTACTCATTTATCTATCATTTGCATTACTCTACTCTTCAAAACTTGTATACTTAATACATAGGAAAGAAAATAATACATTATTTATAGTACATAAATTTTTAAAACTTCAAATTCCAACATTGAAAGACTTATTTCAAAAATTTAAATTTAATGGTCTAAAAGTATAACTTTTTTTCAAAGGAAGGGTGGGCGGGCTATGTGGGTGGGCTCTTGGGCAGGCTATGGGGCAGGGTAATAGGTCAAATCCAAGCCCTCTTTTTAAGGATACTGGGCTCGGACGGGCCAACTATTGAATCTATTGAATTTCAAGCCTATTTTTTTGGGCGGGGTAACCCGACCCATGGA